AGTGCAGTCCTGATGACCTACCACCCAGCTCTGAACCAGGCAGAGCAGCAGGGCAAGACGAGGCCTCCCCAGACCCTGGGGCCTGGCCTTCTCAGCCCAGACAGCTCCAGGCAGGTGCCGCTCCTGCACGCAGCTAGTTACATGAATATCTCCCCATCCAGGCCTTGGCTCAGTTTGCTGGATTCTCTTCCACTCTGGCCCAGGCCCCGGCCACCCCGAGGACTCCCACTTGGAAGGAGGCCTGAGAGTCCTGGTGGGTGCCCCATTCTTGTCGCCTCTCCTCAGTGCTAGGCAGCCTGGGCTGAGCTGTGGCCCCTGAACACAAACAGGAGACTCACACAAACTCATGTGCCACATAGACACCTGGGCTCGGGGGTTGAAAAGGCCTCATGCCCGCCTCTCCTTGCCATGTGACCATGTATGGCGGGCTTCCCAGACTATATGAGGCTGCTTCAGCTTTACTTGTATATGTGGGCCCTAGGAATTTTAAATGTGGCCACTGAAGCCATTTACAGCAAGGCTCAAACTGGGCTACATTTCTGTATGCCAGGGAGTACAATTCAGCCCTCTCCAGAACTCAAGGGCAATGCTGAGTAAAGCAGGGATGAGAGCTAAGGAAAGGCATGAGCCCCAAGAGTGCTTGAAACTTGGGAAGACACTTGGGACCCGGGCAAAGGGAATGAGAAAGAGCTGGAGTCCCCGGGGTTGAGCAAGGCTGGTCAGGAACCCAGAGAGCCAGAGCCACAGCGACAGGTAAGTCTAGGGCTGGACAAGGAAGGGCCCGAGGCTGCTACAGCCAATCGGGGTGGGAGGAAGAGGGAAGAACAGCTTCAGGGGGAACTGGGGTCATGTCCTACAATGTAGGTCACATACCCCCCCACCCCAGGCTGGACTGGCGCCCCTGAAGGAGAAGCTCCTGCCCTAACGCACAAGCACCTGTGTGCCCACATAGGCACACACACCTCCACAGGCCCTTTGGATGTTCATCTGAAGACCTCACCTTCACCACACCCCAGTTTCACCTGGACGCAAGGGTGGCAGGAAGCAGAGTGGTTGGTGCCCATCCTGGCTTCCTAAGATAGCAGTACGGAAACTTCAGGGTGGCAGGATCAC